AACATGAACAGATTCCTCTCTGAGAGCGGGAAGTCAAATGTAAATCTCCCAATGGTTTGAATGTAGATCGACTCTTGATTCATAAACCCACCCCAGACATGGACTGAAATCGTTGCAAAACCTCCTCAGGCTTGGTGGGAGTGATATACAACCAAGAGTCCATACTAGGAAGATCGTTTTGGCATGTTTTCATCCACCAGTTCAACGTCTCTCCCTCGTCCAACGTCACGTCACTTCGGGTCACCCTACTTTTCTTCGCCCCAAGGACCAACGGCCGTTAGACCGGCACCCACGTGTGGACCTACCCGTGAGGACGGTTGGGTTCGGGACAAACAGGTGCGGAAATCGGCTTAACCTGGACTTGAACAGTCCTGTCTGTTGGCGGTTTTTTCTTTTGGACAAGATGAGCATATCTTCATTGATCCACTCAGTTCGACCAACACTCGATTTAAACTGACGAAACTGGCTTCTTTAAACAACTCACCATCACCAAAAAGACATCTTCGGGCGACCTGGTGGCCGCGTTCAGCGCTGCTCAGCTATCCTATTCGAAGCACGCGTTCTTTACTATCAGGTAGTGTTCTCTTGAGTACACTAGCTGAAGAGCATCGGACATAACCATACATAACCCATGTATACATCACCAGCTACTTGATGGTACTTTGAAGTTGGGTCTATCCTATTACCTGTAACAATGGATGATGATGGTTAGTAGATGCCTTGTCCAAAAGTAGTGATAATTGTTTACTGACTGTTACAGATTTTAGGACAGACCCAACTTTGAAGAGTACTTGATGGTATTTTGGTACTTGATGTTTGAAGAGTACTTTGAAGGTCCAGGTCCAGGTAGCTATTTGGGAACCACTCACAGAACCTCAATGATGGTAGCTTACCACCAGGTTTCCTTCCTGACAACAAAACCATCTGCTCAGCAATCTTCACCCTCCTTCCATGGGCATGTGCCTGGGGTCTAAACGAATCCGTTCGACATGGTCTTGCTGCATCGCTTTCATTCCCACCACACGGCCCGCCCGGGTCCTTCGGCGCCGTTCGAACCGACCGGTCTGCGACCGGCTCCGCCGTGGTCCTCCGGACCGGGCGCCCGCACGGGTGCGAAGGCCCCGAGGGTTGGCCATTGGTGGCGCAAGGCCTCGGTGCCGAGTGGTCCACGCCGTGGTGATGGTGACCCATGGGCGAACACACCAGTGTTTTAACACAAAGAGGGTGACCAGGTGAACATGGGTGAAGTGATGTGTGAAGAGCAAACTGAACATCAGAGATCAAATCTGTGATGGTTTGGGGGTGCACAGGGGGATACAGAAAAATCGTTCCAAATAGAGGAGGTCCATTCTACGACAGCACCCGTATGTACAGGGTCTTCTCTTTAGACCGCAGCTGGGAAGTAGAAGTACTTCAAGCCACCCGCAGTCCCGCCGTCCGTAGCGGCACTTTGTGCCATCCTCGAGCATTGCCTCGTCGCGGATCCTCTTGAAAACTGCCCAACTCAACACAGGTCTTGATCTCTGCTAATGCAGCTTGATCTCATCCATCTTCCAACCAACCTCCTCAAGAACCTCTGGTATCCCCTGGCGTAGTGGCCCCTTTAGTGAACGGGGGGTTCCCTCGAGGTGAAGTCATTAAGCTTACTAAGGCATTAAGTCTTTCTCTCGCTCTGTCCCTTCATTTTTCAACGTGAGCAGCTGGCGAACTTTGTCTGTTGATGTGACATTCGTCACGGTTCAACATCTAAAAAGCCTCCTGGGTAGTCATGGCTTTTGTAGTGCTCTCCTTCAGCACTTTTCCTCCAACTTCTCAGCTCATGTGGCAGAGCTGGGCATCACTTTGTTCAAAGAAGAGTTGACGTCCATGTGGCAGGACGTATTGTGATGCCAAAGCCATTTCTGACCTACCCTTCCATAGCTTAGTTCTGTTGGTCTATTGCGCTTGCGCGCTCCCCACTGTACACAGTGTGTACCGAACTCCACAAGAATGCCTTCAGCATTGTGGCGTGTCACTGAAGATGCCCTTGGCATCGAAGTGTATGCCATGTTCGGCATATTCGGTCGAACACTGTGAACGAGCACTGCTCACGGAAACTGCTCAAGCAGAGTATGCCAGAATCGGGGTTGCATGTCAATTTCCACAAGTTCGATTCTGGCAGCGAGTTAAGTCGGATGCTACCCTGTAGCTGGAGATCTGCCCTGCAACTCCTCATGGAGAACAAAGAGAATTGGTCACTTCAAGTTTGTACAATCATTAGAGAACATTTGCTTTCAAGTGTTCTAAGAAATGTCCAATCACAGAATGGTTCACTATCGACACGATGCGGCCACACTCCCAACTCCTCACTAATACGATCCCTAGCGCTGCAGTCCATCGAGCACACGTTTTCAGCAAACACGAGGGTTTCGAGGTTCGGTGCAGCCGCTTGCACGTCTCCCCAGACTCGTTTCATCTGGTAGAAGAGCGAGCTGTGTTGCCCATCAAGGTTCTCTCGTCGGGCTTTTGCACCAGAAAGATCCTTGCAGGGGAAACCCCCCCACAAATGTATGGCCTCAATCTCTCCGGCGCGGCTGATCCACTCAAGGATGCACCTCTTGTCCACCTTCTGCACATCGTCAAAGGTGAGGGCGTCCGGCCATCTTCGTCCGACCACTCTCTTGGCCGGTGCATGGATTTCCACGCTCACGTAGAGCGCGGGGCACACCTGCCAAGTCATACGACCTTCTTGCTCCCCCTATCCCGTCGAAGAGGGATATCACCAGTACTGGCACTCTCAGGCCCTTGGCGCTCTCCTCAACCTCATACCTCAAAAAGTCTCTTCCTAGCCAGCTCACTCCTGTTGCAGCTCCAACAGCGCCACCCTTCTGAGAAGCATCGCTGGCCGTCACAAGTGGTGATGGGATGGCCGTCAGGTCGGTGTGGGCTATCACGGTGCCTAGCCCTATAGTCAGCAGCTCCCATCGTGCCTGCCACTCCTTCTTCTTGACCTCGGCCTTCAGGAACTCCCAGACGCCTGAAAAATGTGCCATACAAGGACGCCTGAACTGCAGGATATGCATCCAGCGCCCCAAGCAGATCTGCAGGCTCTTCCTTCGAAGGTTATTCCTGCAGCTAAGCCATAGGCTTAATTTCAGGGTCTTCTCCAGCCTCGCTGTCTCAGCTCCTAGCCATCCCTTCTCTCCTTGCACGCAGGCTCGGTGGACACTTTTCTGAGGGGCGGTCAAAACTCCTCTAGCGTTCCAGCCTCCTTCTGCCTTCTCATGTAGAACTCCTCCTGAGCTCCTCTCTATCTCTCCTCTCACCCTCTGCCCAGAGGCATAGTTGTCAAGGTAGATGTGCCAGAAGGGCGAAGCTTCCACCTGATCATCACGAAGTCTCTCGACGAAGCCCGACGGAAGCCGAGAAACACGGTTTATGGCATGCTCCAGGGGAAGTCCTACATCTTTCAACAGGGTCTCTGCGGCTTCCTCCATCACTCCAACTGCTGAGCTCCACCCCATCGGTAGGACTTTGGCGCTCTAACATCTGGCCCAAAGGATGGTCCCAGCTCGGACCCCCAAGCGTCTATATTGAACCCCAGCCTCCTATGCCAGGGTTCTGGCAACTCAAACAAGTAGAAGGCCGACGTGATGTCAGCTTGGCTGACTTCAATCCTCTCTCCTTGGCCTAGAAAGATGGAGCTCCATTGTGAGATGGTCGGGAGTTTGTGGATGAAGCCAGGGATGATACCATGGAGGCTATTGCTTGGAATGAGATTCATGATCACTCTCAAGGTCTCTCGCCCCTCAACGGCCTTTCCGGGTTTGACCACTCCAAACATCCCGTTTTTCACAAACTCACCTCTGAACTTAAAGATCTCCGCTTCGGGGTACCACTGGCAGATGCCCCTTTCAACCAACAGCTTTGAAACCTGCACCTTCTCTCCCGCTTGAATGCGCACGCGCCCTTGAAGCTTCGGCACCTTTTGACCTGAGTCTTCCACCTCCACAAGCCGCGGGTCTTCTAATAACCTTCGTGTGCTTGAGCTCACCCAATCCACCAGCTTTATCGAACCTCCTCGACCGACTGGGGGTAGTGAAGGCAGGATTTGGGCCAGACTCAACTTCTCAACCTTGCCTACCTCCTCACCAGCATACCCAATATCTCTAGCCTCTAGATCTGTTGGGGGCCCCAAACAAGTCCGGGCTTCCACTCATCAATAATCTTTTTCACCCTGGCCTTTATTGATTCCAGAGCTGACCAATGGGTTTTGCGAGCAGGTCCCTTTCGAAACCCAACTTTTCCCCCATACATCAACTGACAGAACTGGACCGAAGCGAGGGACCAACCATCAACATAATCCTCAATGCCCCAAAACCCTTCCATGAAGACGTCATCAATCAAGGCCCCCTTCAACTTGTCAGCGAGTCGCCGCCACATGTGGGGAAAGGGAAACAGGCTCCTAGCGCCTAGCAGCTGCTCACTACTGATCCACGTCCCCATCTCGGCCACCTTTCCCCACAGCCAACCAGCCCCAAGCGCTCCATGGCCTCCTTCCAACATCATCCAGCTCCAGGCAAGCCCAAGGCTGCGCAAATCTCCTTTCTCGCACATCATATTTGCCACCTTCTCTCCTCTGGAGCCGCCGTCCTCCACTGATGCACTCTGTCCTCTGCCTCTGTGCCTGCCTTCTCCTTCTCGCCTCAAGGCCTTCTCCTGCCTCACCTCTGCTCCTTCTCTACTGGCCTCAACCTTCTGCTCGGCCGCTCCTCCTGCTGCCTCTGTGCCTCTGTCTGCATTCTCCTCAAAAGGCCCAGGCTCCTCTCGATGCCCAGAGTCCTCATGCCAAATTCGAATTGCCTCGGAAGATCTCTCCTCATTGGTCCCTTCAACCAGCTTGCCATCAAGGTCAGCTGCCAAGCCGGCTGGAGACTGCCGTCTGAGATCGCTTCCCAGAGGCATAGTGGAGACATTCCTCTCCCTTTCATGAATTCCTGTCATGCACTCTTCCTCTAACCTCAGGCTTCGGCCTTCTCTCCTTCTCCCTCCTGCTTCCTCCCTTTCTGCTTTCCTCCTTCTTTGCCACCCTTCCATTTGCTTCCTTTCCCACGGCCCTCCTTTCCCTCCTTTCCACCTTTTGAGCGCCACCAGCCTTTGCCGTCGTCCCTGTTGCTTGAACTCCCCCACCCGCGGCCGCTGCCAGAGCTCCTCCAACTTCCTTTTCCGTCGTAGCCCTGCGCCCTGGCCACCAAGTTGTAGTGTTTCCTGGCCGCAAGTTGGAGTTCGGCTGGTGCTATGGCCTGCTCTGAAGGGACTGTGACTGCAACCTCGAGATGCTTCGCGATGTTCCAGCCGTCGTGGGTGGCGGCTTCTACCGCGATGAAGCGACCGGCCAATGCATCCAGAGCTTCTAGAAGCTGACCTCCTCGAAGTCTGTCGATCACGGTCGCAAGGAGGTATAACTCGCGGAGGGCCGGATGTCCTGCATGATAGCGGTTCTTCAAGTTGATCTGCCAGTAGGTCCCCACTTTTGGCCCGCTGGTCAGCAGATCCTCGTGGGAGGTTGACAGGTCCTGCATCTGCTCTGCGATCTGCTCGAGGAGGAGTGTGATCACGCTTCCCCTCTTCTTCATGCTCTTTCTCTTCAAAGGCGCCTGCAACCTTCTGGCCTTCTTCTCCTCGCTGCTTTCCTCGTCGCTTGAGTCCTCGCTGCCATCCTCCTCGTCCTCGTCCTCGTCCGACGAATCTCCTGAACTCCCACTGGACCCTGGGGGATCTCCACCTTCGGACACCTTCTGTTTCTTCTTCTTCTTCTTCTTTTCGCTCTTGGGCTTGAGAGGATCAATCTCAAAGCCTTCAACACCCTCTCGTCGCTCTTCTTTTTCTTTCCGCTCTGAGCTCCGGACGTTGAGGCTTGACTGGCTGCCGCTACTAAGGCCTTCAGGGGATTTGAAGGTCTCTTCATACTCGATGTAGCTTCTTTTTGCTCCTCCGACCTTTCTCCCAAGAGCTCTCTCACTGCAGGGGCTGTCTTCTCTAAACCAAGGCTCATGGTCTTCAAGCCGTAGATGCCACTGCAGGTTTTGTACTTTCTCCCTGACCGGACTCTTTCGAACCAGGAGTTGAGGGCCCGACACCATCCGAGCGGCTCATAGTTTCTTTGAGCTTGGCCTTCAAGTCGGTGAGGGCCTCTCCAATCTTCTTTCGTCCTCGCTGTTGATCTCCTTCTCCATCCTCTGTGGTTTCTCGCGGGCTGGGCGTCCTTCTCCTCTTCTCTCCTCTGCTCGAACCAGCCTCTATGATCTCTCCTCTCTCGTCCTCTGCAAAACGAACGTGCCTGTCCGGATCTCTCTCCTCTTGATGAACTGGTTGTCGTAGGGCCGATGGTCTGCCTTTGACCCTTGTTGCATCCTCCGGCTCCTCGTCCGCGGCTCCTCCAACTTCTATACCTAATACCTCCAAGCAAAGAGCGGCCCATCGTTTCCTCCCCGATGAGACCAGCCTTCAAAGCCGGGCCAGGAATGATCTCCACCTCCTTTGCGTGGCAGATGAAGTTGCCTGAAACATGGCATTCGGCCTCCATGCAGATGTGGATGCGGTTCATCATACGGCACATGGAGGTCAGCTGCCGAGACACTTTGCTGTCGTTCGTGCCCAACGAGACAACTTCTGCCAAGATCGAACCGTCTGGCAACACGGAGTGCGATCGAACGAAGAACGGGGCCTCCACAGTGGCGGAACCAACCTGCACCTCGCAGACCAAAACACGCCCGGCAAACACTCCCATCATAAGCCATTTCTCCTTATCCTCCAACGAAAACCATCCGACGTCGGCGTCTCGATCCTCACCTCCTTCTTCTCTTGGCATCGTGTTCACGAGTCTCTCGATGCTTTCGTCGTCTCCTAGGCCGCTCCTCTCCTTCTCTTGCCTCAGCCTCACCTTCTCTCCTCTCTCCTTCTCGTCTGTCTCCTCCTGTCGCGGTGGAGCCGCTCTGCCGATCAACTGTGCTCGGGCCTGCAGCGCCAGCTCGTGCTCCTGAGAGGGAACTCAAACCCAGGTGGCCTTGTCCTCCAGTCTCCTCCACCTGGAAGTGGGACGCGTCCCTTAGGATCTCAAGGCCTCTCAGGGCAGCTTCGAGCCACGAGATCGCGATTTGGGCTTCGAGTCTGCTATGAGGATGGAAGCGCAGCTCCTGCCCCAACCGGCGCAACGTGTTGCAGGCTCGGCACAGTCCACCTTCTTCTAGAAAGTGGGTACGGGAGCACCCCGTACACGCGCTCGGCATAGCGCGCCCCTTCCCCACTTGAAACCGAAATGTAGAGGCAACACTAAAAACTCATGAACGAACTCGAGAAAACGGTTCCTAACGAACATTCATGCTCATTGACTCTTGGTCTCAAAAGACCTGACAACATCTTACAACAAATTTTCTGGTATGAGGACCGTTTCAGGCAGGAACCACTCACAGCGTGTTCTGAATTCTTGAATCAAAACAAACGGTCCGAAAAAGGAAAACGGTTCGTTTGTTTTCAGTCGGTTTTCCGGGCGACCCGAACTGAAGTGGCACTGCCTGCAGGACGAGAATGCTGGACTCTGCTTGGATGCCCCTTTTATTACAAATTACAAGAAGGGAAACCGAAGAAACGGATTGTTTCCTCCACCAAATTGGAAGACATGAAAATTACATCATGGCTTCTGTTGTATTGATTTTTGACTCTGAAGAAATCATGTTCGATTCGTGTTCTCCTGTAGCACATCAGTGTTGAGCAAATCCTTGAAACAAGGTCGCTGACGGTAGGACGATGTAGGCAAATGAGGCCAAGGTTCCGAAACTGATGCAAACAATGTAAATTGTTGTTCAACCCTAAAGATCCCTTGGAGTTTCCTCGTCTTCTGAGTCTTCTCAGTCACACGACGCCTGTGAAGTTCATCTTCGGTGGTGCCTGTGCACGTGTCGCGCACGCACAACCGACCGATGTTCCTTCAGACCAAGCCTAAGTGGTTTTGGGGGAGAAACCAACTGGAACCTCTGCAGAGGTTTGTCCCAAGAAGTTGGTGAAAAAAAAAAGACTCACCAGGCTGGGTGGAGTAGGCCGACTGAATTTAGTGCCAGACTGGCACAAGCAACAGCTTGAAGGCCATGAAATGAAATCAAAACTTCAAACGGTTCGAGTTTTCAACGGTTCGTGAAGAGTTTCATTAGGCTTGGCCATTAAGCTTTAGGCTTTAAGCGCTTCGAAGCTGAGTCTCAAGATGCCTGTCCTACACGCTGGCGAACAGCCCCCTGTAGATGTCCAGTACAGAACCACTCGCTAGGTCTATCAACAAACATGCCCTTTCAGCCAAAAGGAGGTACAGCAGGAAACTATAAATTTTCCACTGGAATGATGTTCGGTTCATTTTGGGAATGCCAAAGAAAACACTGACACCATCGATACAAAAGCACCGTCACTACTATGAACCACGGCTCCGTGAAAGCGGTCTTGCGAAAGAACCAGCTCTTGAGAAAGAGCAGAACCCCCACGGGCAAAAGCACCCTACAAAATCGTGTCCGGCCGGGCACTGTGGTGTCCGAGACGACACCAGCTGGTGTCGTCTTTGTTTCAAAAGGGCACGGTTTGTTTTATTCATGTCTTTTCGTGACCAGTTTGCTACTTGGACAGAGAGCCATAGGTCTCAGAAAACGCACCTCTTTCTGCACCAAATGAGTCGGGGCAGTGAGTGTCTGATATGTTAAGACCACGCATTTACAAGAACCATCCTTATAGTGTAGACTCTTGATTGATAACCCCCCATTGAATTGAAGAATCCTCTGCATATGTGGGGGGTTATTCATCAAGCTTCCCGGCCCTGCCGGCTGCGATTTTCAGCGCACCCGCTTGATGCTCGAGAGGCCCAACAAGACCTTCCAACGTTGTCCGAAAAGAAGAAGACAAAATAGAAACAACATCAACACCAGCTTCTTCAGTTTTTTGTCTTGTAATCAACACTTCTTCAGTTTCCTTACAACGGAAACATAACCAGCTTCGACCCGTGCGTGACCTTTTGAAGGTTCCTAAGTCTGTGACCCAAACAGGAGGCTTGTGACCGTGACCGAACCAACCAGGTGATCAACCGATGCCCCGGCGCCGCCCCGGCGCCGCCCACCGCGCCACGTCCGGGGAGCGCAAGGCGATGAAGAAGCTGCGACCCTCCCAGGCCGCTCCCAACGCATTGCCTGTGCCAGAAACATGGCTCCAGTGCGAAAGTCATACCAGGTAACCTGAGTGATGGCTGGCTGTTACCGTTTTGCCCTAAAAACATGGTTGTTTCCTATCAAAGTCAAGGTCAAATGGGTTCCCAGTATCATGATGATGGTAATAGTAATGGGTTCCCAGTCATTAAGCTCAAAACATGGTTGTTCCCAGTATAAATGTATGGCTATGATTCAATGCCTAAATGATTCAATGACCGCGCGTCCTTAATTCGGAACCTGGGACATTCAGTGAACCTCGGAACCTGGGACTCTCCGACCTCTCACAAAGACCCGATCGAAAGAAAAAGGCTCTGCTATAGCAAGGGGTCACAAAAGGACTGCTTCACCAAGAATCCTTCTTCGTGTTTCAGGACCCAACTAAAGGTGAACCCTACTTCGATGATCCCAGTTCAGTACCCCTGGGCGTTGGACGCGGTCCTGACGGGTCACCGCCCCGCTTCTCTCGTCTCCGGCTCTGTCCGAGCTCCGAGTCCACTCCCTCCGGGCCTGGGCCCTTTCGGGCGTGCAAGGTCACAAAGAGGCTGGAGCAGGAGGTGAAAGCCACGGTCGGCGCTGGCCCCTCTGGCAGGTTGAAGGACTGGCGAGAGGCTGTCGCGCGCGGGTCCGCGGAAGGCGCGCGGGGGGGTCTGGCACTTGCAAGCACTCTGCGCCGATGGCGGGAAGGTTCCAATAAGATGCTGTTGGTCAGAAGGCACTATGACCCTCAAAAGCCATGGCAACGTACCTAAAGCGAGGTCTTTAGGGCTCAAACAAAGACCTTCACTATAATGGCAGAGTGAAGGGAAGTCCAGTTGCTTGGCTCCAGGGTTCCAGGGTGTGCGTTGAATCTGAGACAGTCAAGGGTCACTCTTCTTCCGCTTATCATCCTTCTAGGCGAAGAGCGGTTGGAAGGTGCTCATCGCCTTCGATAGCGACGCTACGCGTTCACTTATCATTCTCTGAAAGCGTTTCGTAACGCAAGATGGCCCTTAGGTTGACCCATTTCCTCTATATAAAATTTAAAGTCCACTTGGATGTGTTTTTGTTTCAGGGTGTTATATGACATATAGATACATAAGTAGATACATATAGTAATCATATAAAAAAAATCCCTATGTTCATCAGCCGTGGCCTTGACTTTTCCCACACCGCACCGGCCCCAAAGACGGCGGCTTCATCTTCGCGCAGCTCCCGTACCTTTCCCGTCCCTCGCGTCTCCGCGCGCTTTCGAAACGTCCGCGCCTGGCCAAAGCCGCCAGGTTGCCAAGTGCCATTGGGCCAGGAGACACCCTGGCGCTGAAGGAGAGGACGAAGTCTGAGGTGTCAAGAAGTATAGAGGTGTCATGAAGATTCGCTACGACGCTGGTGAGGAGTCCATCGTCGTGAGGTTTCGAACGGACTCCAAAGAGGCGCTGGGCGCGAAAGGTCTTTCCTTTGGAAGGAAAGGGTCACCCAGACTATCCATCATCCACCTGCTTGAGGTGGAAGGCCGATCAGTTCGGTGAACCAAGGACCCATCTAGACACAGTTTCCACGTATCACCATTCGGGTATTCAGGTGCTTAAGGTATGGGTTAAGGTGGGTTTGATGGTCAACATATACTTGCATAGCCTCTCAACTTTCAACCAAACTTGGCGTTTCATCACGATTCCACAATGACCACATGTCCACCTTGCAGTTGTTTAGGTTATTCTAACCCTAGGGATCCACATACCTTCTCAGAAGGTACTTGGGCCCTCCAAGCCTACTTAAATAGTCTCCAATCACCTTCTGAGAAGGTACTTGGATCCCTAGGGTAATGTGACTGCATTCATGTTCCACACGTTCTTCCGCGAGGCCTCAAAGTCCATCACGGATGCCTCCCCCGACAGCGACATCGCCGGGCGCGGATCCTGCGCAGGACATGCGCGCCGACCCGACGGCTGCAGCTGTGTCCGCCGTGGCACCCACGCGAGCGGGGTGTCCGGGGAAATGGGTGGGTCAAAACCTCAGCACCTTTCGAAGTGATTCGCCCCGGATCACAATTGAACTATAGATTCCTTCTTGTTGGGGGAATGTCAACAACATGCATGGTTTGGTTATCCGGTTGACTTCCTTTATAAAACAAACCGTGTTGACGAGTTGACTTGGGGATACCGGTTGAGGCTCGGTTGGGACGTCTCGGCGGTTTGACTTTGGTGGGAAGTCTTCGTAGGGGTTGGGCCTGGCATTTTAGAGTTGGGCCTCAGCCTTTGTAGGTTTAGGGTTTTGGGACCTCGAGGTCTCTAGTGACTCGGAGGTGTTTATTCCGAGGAAGATACACTGCCTATCCGAACTCCATGGGACCATGGCATGACATCCATCCATTGACCCCTGAAATCAATCAACCACCCTAACTGATCGGTCAATATGCCAGTCCCATTATATAGTCATGTTTGGGATCCAAGTACCTTCTCAGAAGGTGATTGGAGACTATTTAAGTAGGCTTGGAGGGCCCAAGTACCTTCTGAGAAGGTATGTGGATCCATAGGGTATAGTCATGTTTGGGAGTCTCTTCTTGGTACCTGACTCAAGACATCCAAGTACCATCGGTTTGGGGTCTCTGCTCCCGACCGGTCCAAGCGGGACCTATTTTGGAGCACCAACCGCCCAAAACTTGGTCCAACGTCCTATCAACACAGAGGTACTCTCCGGGTTCCAGGTGCATGTACAGAAGCATGTTGAAGCATGCGTTCAGCCTACCCATACAGCTGGTAATCACACGATGATGCGGGTTTTGCGCATCCACCGGCATCCTTCCAATCCATCCATCGAGATCTCGTGCCGTCGCGGGACGGACGAAGACGGACGGACCGTTCGGCGTGGTGCCTCGAGGTCGAAGATCTGCACATAGAGCCGTGGAAGGGCAATGGGTCGTCGCGAGTCTTCAGTTTCCTGGTGTCGGCAGGGCGGCAGGCGGCCGACCGGGGGCCTGGCTGGTGACGGGTTTTGAACCAGTCACCTGACTTGAGCAAATCCAGGTGACACAAGGGGGAGTCGAAAAGGCACACGACACGTGCTAGTCCAGACTGATCGCTCAGTGATTACAGCTGGCTTAGTGATTGCAAAAGAACGAGTGGGTTGTCTGGATCTACAACGGTGACTATCACTAAGAACCTGCAAAAGAAGGCAAACTGAAGGAAAGAGTTGTTCTTTGAACTTGTTATGTATATAGTCATGTTTACAGTGTTCATGATTCAATGCAAATGTTGTTGCTTCCAAGTTCAAACATGAAAAAGTAAATAAGGCATAGTTGGCAAACAAACAACGCTGACAATACCAATGACTAACAACAACAGTTAACAACAACAACAAAAACCAACAACAACAACAACAACAACAACAGTTAACAACAACAGTTAACAACAACAACAAACACAACAACCAATAAACCACCACCACAACAACAAACAACAGCTACTACTTCTTCTTCTTCTACTACTACTACTTCTGAACTTTACTTCTGCTTGTACTTCTATACATCCTACGAATTCTGATTGTTCGCTGGTACGAATCAGTCCGGTTGACCAACCCCCGCAGGACGTGTCCGTTCGGGACGCGCCACAGGACCGACTACGCACCTGCCAAAACTCGAAGCGCAGTTTGACCGAACTGCCTGGAGCCACCTGAGCTGAGCTGCTCAGCTAGCTCGGTTCTTCCAAAAAGGTCGGCTGGTTCGAAGTATTTACCCAGGTCACGAAGCAAAACACGGCTTAAACATCGAATTTCACGAAGCAAAGATCAAGTCAATTGTTATCCACGAAGTAAAGATCAA